TGTAATAATCCGTTTGCGTGCATGTTCTATCCATAATGCCTCCGAAGGAATTGGGTCTAGCCGTTTGACAGCCGAGTCAATAGTCCTAACCCTTGACCGTTAAAAAACCCTAATAGCCTAGGTGTCCCGCCTGGACGAAAATGCTCATTTACCCTAGCTTTAGGTCAAAGAGTCGTCGTACTCTGTTTTAGGGTTTCCCGCCGTGGAACATTTAGTCAACCCTAATTTCGATTAATTATTTCAATGTAGAAATAGGAGTTTCAAAACTCCACGTAAGCGTGTTCTTAAGATACGTTTATTCCCCATTTGAAACCTTGACCACAGTCAAGAAGTTTCTAACCTCCCTTTCAATGGGAACTACGATTACTCTGATTCCATTTCCTATCCAGGATACATAGGCACATGATGCGAATCTTGCCGAGTAAACTTAGGACTAACCCTTAGGTCTTTTTGTCACTCTTTAACCCCTAGCAATACACCCTCAAGCAAATAATTAAAGCAAAATAGTAAACAATAAACAAAAGGTTCCTGTAGAGTACTACAGAAGTTTAGGGTGCTAGTACCTTCCTTAAGCTTAACCAACCCCTTATCTAGATCTCTCCCCGCATTGTCTTTACGATACAAAATTAGATTTTCCCTCTTTTGACCTTTTCCTTCGGATAAATCAAAGAGCGGTTGTGAACTAAAGATGCGATTCAAATTAATTAATAATTTGATATCACATTCAAACCACAACAATAATGTACCAACTCACCTTCTTCATTGATCACATCATCTGATGTAATCACACATTATTGCAACCTTGCAGGCATGTGTCTTGTTCATCGAGGTCTGCTTGGGCCAACTTCATCTCTGACTTGTTCCCGTCAAACTTCATTTTCAACTTTAGTGGTTGGTTCTTCACAAGAGATTCTCACTGAATCCTTCTTGACATTTTCAATTCAATCCCATTCTTTAAGCTCATCTATGATCATGTCCCTACTGATCACTACCTGCTTATTTAATGGGTCGAACAACTTGTAACCTCCAGTCAAACGATATCCTATCAAGATCATCTGATTCGACTTATCATCAAGCTTCCTTCTCAACTGATCTGGCACATGTCTATGTGCTATAGATCCAAACACCTTCAAGTGACTGAGGCTAGGCTTGACACTAGACCAACATTCTTCTGGTGTGATTCCTTTAAGCTTCTTCGCCGGACATCTGTTTAATATGTATGTTGCTGTCGAAACTGCTTCTCCCCACAATTCTTTGGGTAGATGATTTCCATTCAACATACTTCTCACCATGTTCATGATGGTTCTGTTCTTTCTTTTTGCAATTCCATTTTGCTGTGGAGTGCAGGGTGACACTACCTCATGCACAATCCCATCTTTTTCACATAATGCATCGAAGTCTTTCGACACATACCTTGATTTGATTCACCAGGTTTGTAACTCTAGTGAAGAAATCTTCTATACTTTCACTTTCTTCCATCTGAAGCAATTCATAGGCTCTCTTGTGAGTTTGTAACCTCACCTCTTTCACCTTTCCTGCGCCTCCAAACGACTTTTCAAGAATCTCCCACGTGTCCTTCGCTGATTCTACATCACTAACCTTTTCAAAATTATCTGAATATACGCATTGATGGATTATAATGAGAGCTTTATAATCTTTCTTCTTCAATTCTTTGAATGCATCCTTTTCTTGATCCGTCACATTTTCTGCAAGCGGTGCCACTCCCCCCTTCACAAGATCCCAAAGATCTTGATAACAGAAAACCACCTTAATCTGCTTGCACCAATTCTCATAATTATCTTTCTTGAGAATTAGAAGGTTTGTCAAAAAGTGACCGTTTGAATGATTCATCGCCATCACGATTTTCCTTCCTTGAATCGTAACCGGAGCTCTAGATACCAGATGTTGGAAATTTAACCACAACCTATGAAGAATTTTACTCAATCAATCTTGATCTCAATATTGTTTCAACTCACGTAATGATAATGAAAGAAAATTTTATAAAGAAAGAAAGAAAGTAAACGTTGGAGAAGAAGAAAATGAAAATTTTTCTGCAGAGAACTCTTTGCCCACAAATTGTGGAAATTTTGTTATTACACTTGCAACTGCAAATTGTGAATTACAAAATATGATGAGATGAGATGAGATGATTACAAAATAAGGGTTTCTCCCTATTTATAGATTTAGGTTATCTAGCACCCCAAGTCAAAGCCCAAACTATAAAAGTTCAAAAATATCTAATCTAATCTTTCTAAATTAAACCTAATCTTTCTAAATCAAGTTTAATCTTTTTAAAACAATGAATTACATATTTAACACTACACACCTTTTGTTATTTTTTCTTCAATAATCTTTTGAAAGATATTAAGCCCCATATTAATGAATTAGGAACCATCAACTTCGATCTTTATTTATTTTCTTATGATGTTGTGCCTTATAAAGCCTTTGTTGCCTTTTCCTCCAATGGTGCAAGTACATCATTTACAATTTCAATAATATCTTAAAATTTAAATTGGTGCAAGTCTATCATGCACACCATTGAATACTTGCAAATTGGTGAATTATTGATTTGAATTTGAATTTGAATTTTTCATCAATCTAAATCATAGACTAATGATTTTATTGAACGTGATTCTGTCATACAATTTTGTGGAGCAATTTGATACGTGTAACATAAAGGGGAAGAAATTTTAAATTACTTATAACTCAAGTAATAGTTATTAACAAATTAAATGTATAATGAAAATTGTTTTTTTTTTTTTTTTTTTGTTTTTTTCAAAATGAATGAATGATTCAAGTTGGTTAAGTTTGTTTATATATAAAGAGTTTCACATATAAAACTCAAAACTAACATAACTTGCTCAACAAGTTATATAGCAAGTTATGTAACTAATTTCTAACAAACCTAACCAAAAATCAAACTTGCAACAAACTTAACAACTAATGTTTGTTAGATTAATATTTTAATCTGAATTGAAACTCAAGAAATTTACCAAATAAAATGAGCAACCACCTTAGCTTTAGCATGACAAATAGTATTTAAATTTGCAGTTGATTATGGACAACTCAATTTATTAAATTAGAATAGATAGGCACTAAGGATGATTTATTATATATATATATATATATATATATATATATATATATATATATATATATATATATATATATATATATATATATATATATATATATATATATATATATATATATATATATATATATATATATATATATATATATATATATATATATATATATATATATATATATATATATATATATATATATATATATATATATATATATATATATATATATATATATATATATATATATATATATATATATATATATATATATATATATATATATATATATATATACCGTTAGACTTTAAGTTCATCACATTACATCCCTTAAATTATTATAAAAATTTCATATTAAATTAATAGATATAAAAAATATTGTTTGTAACAATGTTTTTAAAATTGGAGATTGAATTGAAAAAACTTTTGGTTTAACGTTAAATTTTTTCATCCGATTAAACCTACGACCAAACCATTTATTAAATTAAATTTCATAAATATTTCACTAGTAATCATTTATTCACAATTTAATAAAATAAATATTTCAAAAATCTATTACAAATTTAATACAACAATATCGATAGTACATATAATAACACAACATAATTGTACACTTCATTTTTAACCTTCATTTAAGAAAAATTACAACAAATTCAAAAATTATAATAAATTAAACTAATTCACACAAAAGTTAAAATAATAGAACATAATAACTAAGATAAAATTTAAATAACTAAAAAACTTAAATTAAATATAATTGAATATCACAAATAAACAATACAATATACTTAATTAAACAATATTTAATTGAACAACAATCAATATTGTAAAAAATCACTAAATTCTTTTTTGTGATTAAGGAATATATGTTAAGTTTTAATATTAACGTATTAAATTTTTTAAGAAATAAAAAAAAGAAGTCAATTTGATGTTTTTTTTGAACCGGAGGGTTTTACAAAACTGTCGCTGATTTTTTGGTTCGAATGGTTTTAAACGGTTCAACTCGTTTTTTCGATTTTATTTCAATTTTGACCCACTAGCAGTTTTGAACGGTTGTCCAACCGAATGGTTCTCGATTGAACCGTTTAAAATATTGATAAGTAATTTAGATCTAAAAGTATTTAATAAAAGTATTATAAAAAATTCATTTTAAACAAATAGATATAAAATATATTGTTAGTAATTTAGATCTAAAAGCATTTAATAAATAAACATTAACTGTTTGATATAAAGTTATTAAATAAATAAAATATTTTGGGGATACATTTTTTAAACAAAAAATTGAAGCAATTAATCTTTTTGTATATAATATACATTTATTTAAAATGATAAAATAAATATTACTTAACAATAATTAAACAAAATAGTTAATTTAATATAAGTGTTTTTATTTAATTAAATTAAGGTTATTTTTGTTATTTTAAATGTATATTTCTTTCTTTTCACTTTCTATCCACTTTCACTCAAAACAAATAATTAAAAATTCTTCTTACTTTCCACTAACTTTACTCACTCTCATTCCTCTAACATTCTTTCCTTTCATTTTACTTTCTCATCCAAACAAAACCTTAAAACCTAAACCTCTAGTATAAAGTCCAACTAATAGTTCCCAGTTGTCTCCAAGAAGATTCAAGTATATATTTTTCTAAACTTTAAACCTCACCCTCACAAATAGTTTTAATAAAGATGACAAAAATAAAATGTATGCAATATATATATATATATCAAATAGTATTCACTTCACATATCAACTGCAAATCAATCCTCCTAGTTGTATTTTGCTAGTTAGTTTACAAATACACTTCCTATTAAGTTAAATTGATGCGAGAGGAACCCAAAAAAAGACAAGTACTTCCAAATCGCATATGTTAACCATAATCTTAACTAGGACCATAACATTATACAAATAAATTAGAGAAAACATAGACAAATAAGAAATTGAAGATGAGATAAGAAGCCATATAATCTAAGGTTGGAAGTATCAGATTTGAGTGAGCCACCACCATCTGTATCAGGCTTTTTGACGTTTTGCCCTGATGCTGTAGCTGCATATGGATACTTACACGTCCCATAACCTGCCACAAAGCACCCATATTCTCATCATTTGTTTCTCTTCCCAAAAATCAATTTAAATTTAGTTGATAATGTAAAACTTGTTCACCAAAATTAAACTTAATTCATGATAATGAAGCTAAATAAACTTACTAGGGTCTGTGTCAGTTATGACTCCCGTGTTGCCAAAATCACAGTCAGAATTGTGGTGACCAGATTGTTGATAATATGCGTTCATGGCATAGGCTGCATGGGACCTCAAAGAATTGGGCTTAAAGCACGGCCCGCCATTCTTTATCGGCCCACAATCTATCCCATTGCTGCAAACAAAGTCGATGTTGGCTTGCAACGCCTTTTCAGTTACGTTAGTCTTCGGCACGCACCACTTCTTTGAAACAGACGATTCGGGGGAGCCTGCCGGTCCCATTGTCGTAGGCCCTGCTGCAGGACCCATGGCAGGCCCCATTGCTTTAGGTCCTGATGCTGGGTCCATTGTTGTAGGCCCAGATGCAGGCCCCATTGCCTGTGGTTACATTACATCAACATATATTAGCCAACACTGTAAACCTCAGAGTTCACACTGTCACGCACTAAATATTATAACAGTACTAAAAATAAGAAACACTTGAAATTATTATAATGCAGTTTAGAGTATATGTTTTGGAATTTTACGATTCAAAGAATTTTCACACGTGCCTCTGAAACCATACGCATATTAATGAATGAAGGAATTAAGAAAGTGACATGGAGTATTCATTAGTCAAACATTATAATTGCCTTTGAAATTTTAACCAAAAGCTAGCAAGTGGCATGGTAAGAAGACATGACACCACACCATCGACATGAAAACGAAATCACCAAAATAGCCCCCAATAACTCTCCAACATGCAAACTCTTGAAAACCCAATGTGAATAAAATAGGGACCGAGTTGTACTTGCATTAAAACTTGCCGTGTACTGATTTGTCACGAAGACTCTATTTCAAAAACAGTAACTATGCATATGCATCGAATTAAACATTCACACACGGATTCTCCATTATTCTTTTAAATAAATAAATACTTGAAAAAAATGAACATGTACCTGTTGATGTTGTTGGGTAAAAACACCAACATCGTAAACCGGTGTAAGATCGGGTTTAAACAACCCGTAATTCCGCTCCGAAACAGTGGGTTTAAGATTCTCATTAAACAATGAGAAAATATAAGTTTCAAATGTTCTATTAGGCATCAAAGGAGTCCCTTTCCCAGAATTAACATGTTTAATAAGATTCCCATTATAAGAAACCGCATTCTCCAGACTCACACCGGGTTGGTCCGGGTCACCCAAAGAAGGCCAACCGGTTTCACCAACAACCAGTTCCACGTCATCGTAACCAAGTTTCTTCATCGCCGAATAAACCGCATCCATCTGAGCATCAAACATATTCGTATAGTTTATTCCAGTTGCTTTATCAAAAACGCCACCGTTTGGTTTAAAGAGCGCGTAGTTCAACGTTTCGGGTTTGGTTGGAGAGAAACCGAAGAACGGATACGGGTTAACCATGAAAGGGGATTTCGTTTGGCGAAGAAAGTCCAGAATGGGAGCGAAGATAGCACGGTCGTAGCCACGGCGGAAACTTCCAGCGCTCGGTGGTTCTGAGGAAGATAAAATGCCGAGAGAGTTAGGTGATACGACTTGAATATGAGTGAGGTTTGAGAGTGTGAGAGCTTGGTGAAGTGCTTTCATGGCGGGGAGAATGTGTGCGATGAGGTTTTTATCTGAAGTTGCGAGGATTTCGTTTCCGACGGCGATACGGTTGAAGGCGGTTTCGGGGTGGAAAGGGAGGATGTTTGTGGTGATCCATGATTGGGCTGAGGGTAGTTTTGTGAGTGAAGGGATGTCGATATTTGCGACGGTTACGGTGACGGAGATGTTTGTGTTGGCGAAGGCGCGGAGGATGTCGGGGTTTGCGTCGAAGAGTTTAATACGGTCGATGGTGGTTTGGGTTTTGAGGAATGAGGCGACTTTGGAGGGCGGTGGGAGGTTGTCGGCGATGGTGCCGTAGTTGACGCCGATACTGTTGGTTGTGGCGGAGGAGGAAGGTTGAAGGAAGAGATAAGAAGTTGAGAGAAGGAGAAGAAGAAGAAGTAAGGGATATGGGGTTGCCATTTTTAGTGAGTTTGTGAGATGCGGGAATGATAGAAGTTTTAATGCGGAAGGGAACGTTAATATGAATTTGATTGAATCAAACTTCAGAGTTCAAAGACCGCCATATAATGGGGCCCACTTTGGAGAAAAACTCTATTCCAAGGTTTGGGTTTTCAGTTTGAGCGTTTGATGTTATGTGTTAGGTTGTCTTCTATCAGATATTCTGCGTCAAAAACAAAAATTGAGAAAATTAAATTCAACTCCTCTAAAGTTTCTTTTAATTATACACACTCAAAATATACAATAACATTTAGAATAATGATCAAATAGACAAAGCCCTTATTTTACAGTGGTATCTGATAAAACTATTACAGACCACATAATCATATATAACATTAGCTCTTTATTGTCCCACTTTGGTAAGGGAGACCAACAACAACAATGGTCATTGAGTCACCATAGCGGAGATGCTAGCACTATGGAAGAACATTATCGTCTGAACGAGACATTATTAGACAACATATGTGATCTATATATAACAATAGTAACTAGAACCAATAGTTGATGATCAAGGAAACCTCGTGGATCCTTAACCTTTAGCGATAGAGATTTGGGATGCACAAATCCCTGACAACTTCAAACTGCCCTCCCTAGCGATGTTTGATGGAAAAAGAGATACATAAGAGCACATCATTGCTATCAACGCACACATGGCCATTATTGGGGAGAATGACTCCCTCAAGTGCAAAATGATGGAAGGTCCCAAGTTCAAGTCCGCCCAGAAGCTTTTAGAGCGCTTCAGGGAGGGAATGAATACTTCAAGATTTCTACCACGCCAAAATAATTATCGAGCCTCACGCCCCTAAAGGAGCTTTAATGGGAAGTAACCTAGATAAATTGTGCAAGTATCATAACATACAGAGCCATTATAATGAATACTACCATCATCTGAAACGAGAGATTAAAAAGATGATTCAATGAGGCCGCCCACAAAGGTATGTGTAAGGAAATGCTCAAAGCTTAAGAATAAGTACCTCACCACGAAGAGAAGAAAGACGAAGAACTCCTCAACCTCGAAGGGGTAAGAGTAATATGGAGGGCCATGAGTCTGGTCGAACACACCACACATTAAGCATAATTGCTGGAGGCTTTGCAGGAGGAAAAATTCTAGCTCATCCGAGAAAAATATATCCAACAGGTTATGCACATCGTTGATGCATAACCTTTAGAAAGAGCAATTCCAACACCAAAAATCAGTTTCTCCAACAGGGACATAGAAGGAATCATTCCCCATGAAGATGATTCCATGGTAATCAATCTTCAAATTCATGATTGGAATGTTAAAATAATCTTTGTAGATCATGACAGTTTGGGAGACATTCTTTACTGGGATAATTTTGAAAATCCAAAGATAAATATAGGGCTCCTTAATTCTTTTAGGGGCTCTTTGGTCAATTTCTGAAGAGAGCAGGAACAAGTCCAGAGATATGTCACCATTCAGACTACTTTCAAAAAATGGGAAAACGCAAAAAATTTAAATGTAAGAAATATGGTTGTGAACGTCTTATTGTCACCCTAATTTTGTCCCCCAAAATGTCTCTACTCATTTTCTCATTTCCCACTGAATACATTGCATCTTTTAAAACCAATTTGCTTTAAGTTTTTAGTTCATTCTAGCACATTCACCTCAATCCATTTGTCATCACTAATTTAGTTTTTAAGACCTTTGCATTAGGGGAGGATTTCTTGCTTTAGAAGTTTCTTTGAAAGAAGTCAAAATTAAAAGTCAATAAGAAGGATTTATGCATTTTGAGTACACGGTTCCCAATTTGATAACTTCCAATCTATCTCTTCATCTCATTGCATTATCATTTTGTCATCATTTAGAATCTAGAAGTCATTTTAAAAATAAATAGAAAAAGTCCTTTGTTTAATTTTATTCATTATTTATGTCATTCTTCATTGCATTTGTGCATCATGAAAGATCAAAATGAGTAGAATAAGTGAATCATAAACCATATAATATTATCATACCATGGCATACCATATTCTATTTCATCATCATTTCAAACAAAGGGAAATGTAACTTATATTTCTATGAACATGTCCATGTTTGAATAAACAACATCCCCATCACTCAATTTCAACATAAACTAAAGTCAATATCCATTTGACCATCATCGTTCATCATACAAAGCAAGGTTCGAATTTGCCATTCAACTTCCATAAATGTAAGCATCACAACATTGTCATCATCTAACATGAAAAAGTGTTATTTTTACCCATCTATTGCAATATCATTATCATTTAGAGTTAGATGTCCATGTTCAAACTACATCAACATCATCATCCATAAATTCAACACAAAATAACATTCCATTTTTCCAACAACAATATCTTCATCATAACCAAACTGTTTTCATCATCACCCCATCCATTAAAAAACAAAATCAACTAAAATGAATTAAAATAAAAAAAGTGAACACAAGCTAGATTAAAATGAAAGTAATAACATTGCATCACACTCCATAATATCATTACACACATACCACCATCACAGCCATGAACGAAACAAAGTTAAAATTAAAATTAAATGCTATTTTATTGAAATATGAAATACGTGATACACGATTTACATAAGTTGCAGTTCTGCTTACATACAAACATTATCTTCTAACATCCCATACATTACATACATACAATCACACAACTCACCATGCACACAAGTTCCTCCCTATCAAATTCCCACCCCAAAAAAAAACCATTCACACATTCATTATCATATTTCCCCTACAAATTCTCACTCACACGAGTTTCTTATCAACCCTCAATTTCCCCTATAAAACTAGACTCTCATCTCACTATTGATACACACAATTCAATCCCCAAGCGCTGTAAAAAATCCCTTTCACCAAAGCTCGCCTTCATAAGGCTTTTAGAGCTTTATATTAAACCTCCAAAATTTGAGCTTAAGTCCTCTTACTTGCATCAACATCACAATAGAAGAAGGAGGCAAAGAAGTTGAAGAAGGAGGAGGAAACATAGACATAGCAGAAAAAGGAATAGAGTAAAGTAATTTTGCGTACCTAAAGGTGATTACTCGCTGAAAACCTTGAAATTCTAGGTTCTAGCAAGGTCATTCTTCATTTTTCTTCTTTGCATCTTCATGTTGATTTACATATTTTTTTCTTACTTGTTTCTTTCTCGCTTTCAATTGTTGTGAAATAGCTTGTAATCTTGAAAAAAAGTTGAATTGGGGGTTTAGGGTTTGTAACGGGAAAATTTGGGAATAAGCTATTAATTAACTTAACTCATAAAGTAAGAGTCGCCACCAAAATTTTATTTTTCCAAAGGAATAGGGAAAAGAATGAACAAAACCCACATAAGTTTAACATAAAACTAATAAAATAGAGAGACAAAGTGTAAGGGGGTTGGTTATGTAATGGAATGTGTTAGCACTTAAAACATCTATAGTACTCTATAGGAATCTCTTGAAAATCTATGTTTTACTTAAAAATGTGTTGTTTGCAAAAGATTGGAAAGATGAGAAGAGAAATGTTTTTTAGGGTTTTTGTGTTTGACAAGACTTCTTGAGCCTTGTGCCTACGTACCTACAAAGTGTAATGGATGATCAAAACCTTGTAGTTCGTGGTAAAAATAACAAAAGAGTTTGTTGTGATTGATTTAAATTGCAAGATAAGTTGTCATTTTAAGAATAATACTCAACTAATCACCCACATGTATATGAAAAGGGACCCTTTGCATCACTATTGAAAAGGGCTCCAACTTGGATTGAAATCAACAAATATGCCACTAACTCTCTCAAGTGAAAAAGAATCAACATTAAACACCACTATGAGGATATGAGAATTACATCTCAACTATGAAAATGACTCATGTCTAAATCTTAAGAAAAAGTTTTAAAAGAAAAGTGCATAAAGGGCACAAAATGGTTTGAATGAGTTGTGTATTTTTTAAGTCTTATGAAAACGGTCTTGATATACTTAAGATAAATTAGCACTTTATTCAAGAAAAAGAGTTTGAAAATCACTTGAAAAAGTCAAGGTTTATTAAGAAAGTGGTTCAAATTTGAAAATAAGAAGGTTTTAAAAAAGGGAGAAGATTTTGAAAATTTAAGAAAGGGAGGGGGGGGGGGGGGGGGGAGATGAAGAAACTATCCTAACACACAAAGTAAAAGCTAAGGAAGAAAAGATATAACCAAGAGCAAGCCTTGACACAAGTCAATACTCCCATCCTTTGGATTAAGCAACAAGAAACCAAATAAGCAGAGAAATAAATAAGCATCAGATAAGAAGAACTTAAGTCAAGACCAAAGATGAGGTAACAAAGCTAAGTCTTCCAAAATTCAACCCAAGGTCAAGGTACTAGAAATATTCCAAAGTATCAAGTCACAACTCCAAAGCATAGGATCAAGATCCTAATTATAAGTCCATAAGTCCAAGATACAAGCATGGGATAGTAATCAATAGTCCAATAGAAACATTAAGTCTTTTAGTGGTTTAACCTTTATTAATGTCTTAAGAAAAAGAAAAGATAAAAGTCCAAGTGGACAAAGAAAAAAGGCATAAACATAAACAATAGCAATATGATATGTAATGATAACAATAAAGCAATATATAAGGAGCAAGAAAGTAAATGACATAAAAACAAAGGTGCATAAAAATAAATGTTAGCACAATTATACGGTTACTATTAGTATTAGAGTTAATAATTCAATACGGGACAAATTTATTGCTATGTTAAGCAATCGTAGCACAATCTATAAGGAAGATCATACTGTGTGAGGCCAATCAATAAGAATGTATGTACCATACATGTTAGAGATATGATAGAGATCATACTCCTAAAATATGCAGTACAAGTAAAAACCAAGGAGGGATCAAGCAATAAGGCAAGAAGATTGGTTGATTACACCAATCAATCCTTCATGACAGTTAGGACAATAGCAAATGATGAAATAAAAATATGAAAAATAGCTCAGAAAATAGAAAATAATTTTA